CCCGGGATCAATCGGGCGGCGGCCCCAGCGCGCCCGCGCCCTGCTGCGTGTGCCCCCCCCCCCCCCCCCCCCCCCCCCCCCCCCCCACCCACCCCACCCCCCCCCACCCCCCCCCCCCCCTTGCATCGACCATGACTCGCGTGGAACCACCGCAGCAGCCTCGTGGCTTTGCCGACCGGCGCGTGCTGGTCATCGGCGCCGGGTGCTCCGGCCTCAGCGCCCTGAAGGAATGCCTGGCCGCCGGATTGAAGACCGTTTGCTTCGAAAAGAGCTCGGACATCGGCGGCCTCTGGCGCTACTCGCGGGACCCCTCTCGCGGGACCATCTACAAGTGCGTCCTGACATGGAGCCGGGCCGGCGACCTCTGGCCGGCCCGGCCGCCGGCATCTCCCCCGGCCGCTGTGAGCTCCTGACACCCTGTCCTGCGCATGCCGGCGCACCCCGGCCCGCCCCCCCCCCCCCCCCTCGGGTCCAGGTCCACAATCATCAACACATGCAAGGAGATGATGAGCTTCTCGGATTTCCCGCCCGATCGCAGCATGCCGGCATTCATGCACAACACCGATGTGGTGGCCTACTTCGAGTCCTTCGCATGCAAGAACAATCTCTACCCGCACATCCAGTTCGACACCGAGGTCATCAATGTGGCCCAGAGTGACACCTACCAGACGGATGGCAGCTGGACAGTCCGGTGCGTGGCCCCGGCGGCGGGGCCCGAGTCCCCGGCTGATCTCGCCCTTCCCGGACCTCTCCCCTGCCCGGACTAACGCCCGCTCCTTGCCACTGGACTCCCCCCCCCCATCCCCCCCACGGCGCGCCCGCGGCCCCGGCGTCGCCACGGATCGGTCCGGCCCATGGCGGCCGGCTGCTCGGCCGGGCCCAGCTTTCGCCAGGCCGGCGCCGATCAGCCCGAGCAGACGGAGACCTTCGCCGCGGTGCTCGTGTGCAATGGCCACCACACGGTCCCCCGGTATGGCACGGTGCCGGGGCTGGACAACTTCACCGGGCGCGTGATGCACAGCCGGGAGTACCGCGGGCCGGAGCCCTTCGCCGGGCGCCGGGTGGTGGTCATCGGCGCCGGCAACAGTGGCCTGGACATTGCGGTGGAAATCAGCCGGGCCAATGACTGCTACGACCCGGCCGAGCATGTGCCGCCCCCCGCGGCCGAGAAGCAAGCCAAGCAGCAGTCCCCCGACAAGGGCCCCGGCAAGCCGGCCATCGCCACCAGCGTCTCGACGGCGATCAGCCTGTCGGGCCACATCCCCGGGTGGGCCTTCCAAAACCCGGAGTACGACCACCTGTACCGGCCGGCGGCCGAGCGGTCTGACCGGGCGAAGTCCACCCGGACCCGGGTCCCGGCCGTGCATCTGGTCTCGCGGTCCGGGACCTATGTCATGGCGCGCACCACGCCGGCCGGCGTGCCGAATGACTTCCAGTGGACGTCGCGCTTCAACCTGACCATGATGCCTCCGCGGGTGAAGGCCCTCTTTTCGCGGGTGGGCGTCCAATTCAGCCCGGCCGCGCATGACCGCTATGGCCTGACCCCCAAGCATGACTTCTTCTCCAGCCACCCGACCATCAATGGCGACCTCTTTAGCCAGCTGCACACCGGGGTACGCTGAGTGCA